AAAATTGAGCAATCATGGAAGATTTTAAAAATATTTTGGTAGAACTAATAAAGCACCAAAATGAGCAACAGTTACAGCTACAAGAAATATGGCAAAAGCAATTATTACAAACGCAAAAGGAAAATCAAGATAGACAAACAGAGCTCCAGGATCTAATATTGAAAGTAGCAGGCAACAAGAAATTAGATATCGAAAAAGAAGCAACATTTTCGCAAGACGCTGTGTGGAATACCATAGAGATTTTCAAATATTCTCTAGATGAGGACAAAAATTTTGGCGATTACTTCAGAAGACATGAAGACATCTTTAATAGAGACTGTCAAAATTGGACAGAAGCGAAAAAGCTACGTCTATTGCTTAGAAAATTGGGAACTGAAGAATATACAAAGTTCGTGGATTATATCTTGCCAAAAAAGACGAACGATTTAAAATTTGACGAAGCAGTGACATGTCTTAAAGAACTCTTCAGCCCCAAAACATCACTCTTCCATAGGAGGTGGAAATGCCTTAACCTGGTAAAGGGCGATAATGAGGATTATTCAACGTTCGTAGCAATAGTAAATAAACATAGTGACTATTTCAAACTAGCGGAATTAACACCGGATATTTTTAAATGTCTCATCTTTGTTCAAGGGCTAGTTTCTACAAAAGACAACGAAATGCGTAGAAGAATGCTGGCAAAATTACAAAATGAACCGGGTCTAACATTACAGCAATTATCAGAAGATTGCCAGAGATGTTTAAGCATTAAGAAAGACGCAAAGGACATTGAAGATCGGCTGTTTCTCACATACGTAAGTTAAACAAAAATCTACGTTCTTCACCCTCCCCGGAAAGAAAAACTAAAATTTTACGACAATGAAAAGATTCTCACCCATAAGAGAATAACAACATATAGGACAAATTATGACAAATATCGAAACAAATATAAGCCCCCTCCAGCAGCATGTTATCGATGTGGAGGATTACATTGGAACAAGGACTGCCGCTTCAGATATAAAAATTGTAATGAATGTGGAAAAAGAGGCCACAAGGCATCTCAATGCAGAAATAGAAATTATACTAATAGAATAAGAGCTACAAGGATGAATAATAACAACAATGTAAGAAAACATGTAGAAATGGAAATTTTAAACAAAAAAAAAAATTAAATTACAATTGGATTCGGGTTCCGACCTCACGATAATCAACTTAGACATGGAAAAAACTCAATAGACCTACGATGTTACACACTCAAAAAATTGCCAAATCGGTTACAGGAAAACGAATAAAATTTGAGGGAGAAATAATAGTAAATGTTAAATTTCACGGTAAAACAAAACTGAAGATTTACGTCATGAAACCTACTGTAAACTTAGTAGGTATCGACTGGATGCAGAAATTCAACGTTTGGGACCTACCTATTAACTCGTTTTGCAAAAAGTTAGAGGTTGAACAATCAGATACCATAAAATTGAAGGAAGAATTATACAAGCAATTTCCTGAGGTATTTTCAAGTGGGTTTGGACGATGCAACAAATTCGAAGCCAAAATAGATTTGAAAGAAAACGTTTAACCAATTTTTAGAAAAAAGCGAAATGTCCCGTTTGCTACGATAGAAAAAATAGATAAAGAATTGGAGAGACTTGAACAAACTGGGATTCTATCTAAAACAGAGTTTAGTGACTGGGCTGCGCCGGTGGTTTACGTTAAAAAGAAGTCGGGAGAAATTCGCGTATGCGCAGACTTTTCGACAGGACTCAACAAGGGAAATACCACCATTACCCACTACCGAGCCCAGAGGAGATACTTACAAAGCTCAACGGCGGTAAGATATTTTCGAAAATAGATCTTAGTGAGGCTTATTTACAAATCCCATTACAAGAGAGTACGAAAATCCTTTGCATTAATACGCACAAAGGGTTGTACAAGTTTAACAGACTACCATTCGGAGTAAAAGTTGCACCTGCAATTTTTCAACAAACAAAGCTCACGGGCCAGAATTTCGCGACCGCTTATCTGGATGATATTTTAATTAAGAGCGACAATGTTGAAGAACACAAATCACACATAAAAGAAGTTTTTTGAAGACTTCAGGACTTAAAGTAAAAGGAGAAAAGTGTGATTTCTTCTTAAATGAAATGAAATAAAATATTTAGGTCAAATAATAAATGAAAATGGCAGGAAACCGGACACAGAGAGGGCATATGCAATCAAAAATATGCCGGAACCAAAAAATATTGCAGAACTGCAAAGTTTCCTGGGCCTAGCTAATTACTATGGCGAATTCATTGAGAATATGCATAAACTGAGGTCTCCATTAAATGAGTTACTAAAAAAGGAGCATAATTGGACAGAGGATTGTAAAAAAAGCGTTCAAAGAAATAATACAGAAATTAACGTCAGTTAACACTGACACATTTTAATCCCGAACTCTAAATAATTATTGCAAGTGACGCGAGCTCACATGGGGTAGGTGCGTGTATTTTACACAAGATGCCGAACGGTACAAACAAACCCGTGGCACACGCATCTAGATCATTATTACCGGCGGAAAGAAATTATTCACAGATTGAAAAGGAGCCATTAGGCATAATTTTTGCAGTAACGCGTTTTCATAGATATATATATGGGACAGAGTTCACACTTCAAATGGACCACAAACCACTTCTTACGATATTTGGTTCGAAAAAAGGCCTACCAGTCTACACAGCGAACAGACTTTTAAGATGGGGAACGGTGTTACTGAACTATAATTTTCAACTGCAATTCTTACCATCAAAGAAAATCGGACATGCTGACGGTCTATCGCGATTAATACCTACAAAAAGCGAACCGTTAGAGTCGGTAATTGCCGTATTACAAGCGGAAGATGAAATCAGCAAAGTACTAGGCAATACAATAAAGAAACTACCTGTAACGCTGCTAGAGATAAGACGAGAAGCAGAAAGAGACGATTTTATTCAGGAGACCAAGAAAAAATAGACAAAATGAAGAATTTAGCAGACAGTTTCTCAATCTGTGACAACATATTGTTGTAAAATGAGAGTGCTAATACCAAAATCACTACGAAGAAGGATCGTAAAAGATTTTCATTTGGGACACCCGGGAAAAAAACCGGATGAAATCACTCAGGAGTTTTGTATACTGGCCGAATATGGACGATAATATCACGCAAATGGTGGAAGGATGCAAGGGTTGTGCTGCTGCGGCGAAGGCACCACCCTCCATACAAAAGCCATGGCCTAAAGTTGACAGACCGTGGTCCAGGATACACGTGGACTACGCAGGACCCATTGAAGGTTATTATTACCTAATAACAATCGACAGTTTTAGCAAATGGCCTGAGGTTGCCAGATTCAAGCACCCAACAACAGAAAACAAACCTATTTGCTAGATTTAGTGTCGCAGACTGCGTAGTAAGCGATAATGGTACACAGTTTACATCCAGCGATTTTAAAGAATTTTGCGAGATGTACCAAGAAAAACATATTAGGATAGCGCCATACCATCCCAGGTCTAATGGACAAGCCGAGGGATTTGTCGACACTTTGAAAAGAGCACTAAAAAAAGCTGAGGACATACCAACGATAAAAGCTCTACAGCAATTTCTACAAGTCTATAGGATAACACCCAACACAAACACACCATCGGGTCTTTCCCTAGCAGAATTAATGTTCGCACGGAAAATAAGATCGGTGTTTGATAAACTATTACCGAGCAAGAGCAAAAATCAATATACACCGATGGTACCAAAGAGGTCATTCAAACCTGGAGAACGGGTTTATTTCAAAAATTTTAGAAACAATATGTCGTACTGGGAGCCGGGTACAGTAATCAATAGAATCGGAAATCTAATGTATATCATAAAAGGTGAAAAGTTCACACACAAAAGACATATCGACCAGCTACAGAAAAGACGAATTGAGGAACCAAGCCCGTCAACCGCAGAAGATGACGACGCTATGGATACAATCTTTGAAGCGTTTGAGATACAAAGAGAGCAACAAAATACAGTAATGAGAAGGTCAAATAGGAAAAGAAAATTCGTCGAACCACTAATCATCAACCACAAGAGACAAAAATATTAACTCCCCCCCAAAAAGGGATCTAAGGAGGGGGGTATTATGGGGTCCACCCTTTTTCGGATATATTGGTCTCGTCCTGCTGCCATAAAATAGCCACAGTCAGGCAGAGAAACGGGAGTCGGACATGAGTGTCTGTGAGTGTCGGATGGAGTGAAGTAACCTCTTGTAGAAGTCAGTTACAATCACGTAGACTCTAAGGAAGTCCTACTTCGAGACTGTATATATATCTATCTGTATTTGCTACTAACCGTGTTCCTGGATTTTACTAACCGCATTACCTTTGTATTTTGTGTAAATACATTTAATTTCTTAGCTTAAATACTTGCGTTTGTCATTTATTGGATACCTATTTTTCACGCGGGATCCACAATTTCTCCACGAACTTTTCGCGAGGTTCGGAGTACCAGATCTGATTGTGTCTGATAACGGCACTCAATTTCCATGGAAAGAATTTAAGGAATTTTGCCAAATCTTTGCGGTAGGGCACATAACAAATGCCGCTTACTATCCTAGAAGTAACGGTCAGTCAGAGCATTTTGTGGATATCTTCAAAAGAGCTAAAAAGCCAACAGTGGAGCCACAGCATTACAGCAATTTTTAGAGGTATATCGGCTTACACCAAATAGAAATACACCTTCGAGCCTGACTCTGGCAGAAATCATGATTGCGCGAAAAATACTTATAGACTTATACCCAATAAAGGGAAACATGATCATGCGGTATAAAAAACTGAAAAAAAATTATGAAATTCGTCATTTTTACCGTATGTGCCAGTCAAATAAAACATAATGAGAAGTCGCAGTTGTCGTTCGATGAATTAGCAGGATGGTGTATCTAGTAAAAGGTCTTGAAATGGTGAACAAGAGGTACTATAATCAAATTAAAAGTAGGTATTCAATTGAAGAGAACACTACTCTAGGGGAGGTTGAACCTATGGAGTTTCTTCTTGATACTTTCGATTTGCCCATCCCTCAGAAAGCTCCAGAGATAGAAGTCCGAAAGAGACGGAGGGGAAAAAACAAAGGGATGCGAAAAGTCAATCCAAAAAGAAAAAAAATATTGACTCTGTACAGAGTAAATTCAAAAAAGCGGGGTGATAATGGGTATGACCCCATTCACATATTTACAGTAGTAAATATTGTATATTGATCTGCAGTTGGAGATTCATTGTGGAATTCACTTGACTCCTAGAAGTTGACTACTAATTCTACACGCCGCTGGAGAATCTTATATGTGTTGTTCTTTTCCTAAGTATTATCGTTCATCGTTTGATTATTCTATTCAGTAACATTACTTTACAACACACTAACTGAATAAAATTAATAATTATAATCACGAGCATTAAAATAAGAGAATTACAAAGGACAGTGTTAGGCCTGTAAATTAAACAGCCTCTTTTAGCTCCGATCAGCAAGTTAAGTGGGCTTGGATTTTCGGGCTGACGACGTTAAGTGCCACACTGAGATCCGCAGACGTATTGGGATGGCCAAGGATGCATTCCAAAAGTTGGGCAGGGCATTGAGAGACAGGAGGATTTCCTTGGTAACAAAAAAAAACTGAGCCGTAACGTGATAAAAGTCCTCTTTTACAACAGCGAATGCTCGACGGTCTCCGCAAAGATGAAGAAGAGACTCGAGGCAATAGATGTTTTAAACGAGGATGCTGAGGATATCATGGAACGATCGTGTGGGCAACGATGAGGTCTTGAAGAGGATGCAAACAAAGAGGAGGATTATAATTAACATCAGGAAGAAGCAGCTGAAGTTTCTAGGACACGTCATAAGAAAAGAAGGCCTGGAGAATCTGATACTCACAGGTCGAATACAGGGAAAAAGACACAAGGGAAAGCAATGCATGACATACCTGGCGGGCTTAAGCAAGAAATGAGAAAACGTGATCTGGGGGAGTTGGCAGCGGAATAAAAGTTATTGCGAAATACAAGGGATAGTGGGAAGCAGATAGCAATGATCGTCGGCTTGCCTACTGTATGAACAATACTATATTCATATATATATATATATATATATATATGTGTGTGTGTGTGTGTGTATGTGAGAGAGAGAGAGTGTGTATGTTTGTGTGTGTTTAAATTATGATACAAAACTTGAACTCCCGTTTACCATCTGCTAAAAGTTCAAGTTCCGTACTTAATAACAAGTATATATATATATATATATATATATGGATTAAATCCGACAAATATTTTAATAAATTTTCTGTTTATAAAAATAACCTATAAATAAATTTACAAAATAAATAAAACATTTATAACATATTTTTAAAAATAACCCATAGAAATAACGAATAACCCCCCCACACACACACACATATATATACTGTTTCTGATACGCTCCGAAATATCTGTCAGAAATACAAAATCCTGAATATTAGTGCCCTCAAAATGGGTGGAATTGCCAGGATCTTCGCCCTCTTAAAGTAAAGAAGATTGCGTTTGCTCGGATACGTCGTGCAAATGGTTCTCGATAGGAACCCAAATCCCATTCTATACAGAAAGCTGTCTCAGGAATAATTTCAGCTTAGGCAGAATCCTACAATTTAGCGAAGATTTCTGTGAATGACAACATGGTGAGAAGCTGTATTCATCGAATATTCATCCTTCATGTAGTGTTGAAATTTCTTTTCATTATCAGAGTGACATTTGCTCAAAAGTCAGAGTTGTAAATATGTTAAAAAACAGTAAAGCCGTAAGCCTCAAATTCATCTTCACAAAGTATAGAACTCATGGATACCTTACAATATATATATATATATATATATATATATATATATATATATATATATATATATATAGCCGGCGTAAATTGTCCAAATCGTGTAGCAGCAAAATTATCTATCCTGCCAAAAGGTTTAATATGTAAAAAAAAAGCTAAAAACTAATTGAGTTTCTTTTTTCAGGCTTTCAGATAAGACACTTACCCATCTTGACACCATTTTTGTTAAGAATAACTAAAAATCCCGCTAAAAAGAGAACAGTTTAAAATTGTTTTGTGTCAGCTCCACTCTCCTCACAACCGATCGATGGTGAGAATAAAAAATCATTCAGGCCTTCTACCAACATTCTTACACTGTCTTCCATGTTCAAAGTCCATTCAAGTACCATCAAGAGAAAGGTGAATAAGTTTAAAAAAATAGGGGACTGTATAGAGGAAAATTGAATTAGAAGGTAACAAAAACATTTCAAGTTAGAGCTTAAGAGATCAATTAAAAAAGTTCCACCTCAAGTCATAAGACGTTTAGCACGTGAGAGAGGAGTTTCGGCTACGACAGTTCAAAGAGCAGTGAAAAGGCTTGTAAATGAAATCGTACGTGAAACATGAGAGGTACTTTGTTACTCCAGGAGAGAAAGTTAGAAGGTTAGAGAGCGCAAAGATCATCTTGAATGAGTTGGGAAATGATCCGGGAATAATATATTTTTGACCTAAATTAAATGCTTCATGTGCTTCCGATCCTTAGCTATGAATTATGATGAACATTTTATTTTCGTTTCATTTATTAATTTAAGAACACTCATAAAAATTCCATAATTTAGCTAAAAAGTCAGTCAATGGTAGAGCCGAATTGATGCAATTAAATGTCTTATAAACAAAAGTGAGTATTATATCAATCTTCCCTACGATGTATAAAGAAATAATTCATTCGAAAAGCCATTTGGCGTATGAACTGAAATTGTTGTAGATGTTTTAACTCAGGCGCGCCTCTGTCTAGACATGTCCTGATCAACTGCGCAAATTAGATCGATCTTAGATCAAAATATTCTTATATAAGAATTCAGATGCTCTGTTCGCCGACAGATTGGAGATACAGTGTCTCCTTTCCAAATATCTCGATTTGGCCACAGAGGCGCGTTCGGTTAGCAAAATCGGTAAAGGCACGATAAGCTAAATGACGGTTCCGTATAGGATGCAGGTTCGAAACCTGTCCAAGGACGAATATTTTTTATGAAAATTTCTTGGACATTCAGGCCGGTAAATGTTGTTTAATACTGTTTATTATAAACAGGACATTTACTTAAATATTTGCATCTATAAAAAGAATGTATAAACATAAAAAATGTCTTAAAATAATTCTCGGACTTTGTCCATTTCATAATGTGGTACGTCATTTGTTTACATTTGATACGCTATGAGCAAATATGTAGGTACGTTAGATTTCTATGGAAGATTGAAGTTTACATACAGTAAATTCGACATTGCTAACCGAACGCGCCCCTGTGGCCAAATCGGTAAAGGCACGTCAAGCTAAATGACGTTTTCTGTATAGGATTCAGGTTCGTATCCTGTCCGAAGATGAATATTTTTATGAAAATTTCTCGGACATTCAGGCCGGTAAATGTTGTTTAATACTGTTTATTATAACTAGAGCATTTACTTAAATATTTGTATCTATAAAAAGAATGTATAAACATAAAAATCTCTTAAATTATATATTATAATTATTTTCTTTTTTAACAATAAGATTTCATCGCGACACAGAAATTTCTATTTCAAAACTGAAAGAAAGTTATTCCTAGCATCGCTTGACAATGGAACCAAACTCTGGATTTTAAGATTAAGTTTTATAATTAAATTTACAGTTTTAGTTTCAGTTTTGAAACAGAGAAATTTCTGTGTCGAGATGAAATATTTTTTAAAAAAGAAAATAATTATAATATTATGGTCTACTCTTTGTATGTAGCACTGTTTTCTAAAAATAAAATAATAGCTAAGAACACAGGATTATAAATCTTAATCTTCTCTTCCTTCTCTTATATATATATATATATATATATATATATATATATATATATATATATGAAATTTAAGTATGACAATTTGAGAATTTTTATGTAGGAGTTTATCAGTTAATGTGGCATGAACTAAATTGTTCAATAAATAGAATAATACCTAAATTGTTATCCCGAAATTCAGGTATAATAACACATTTAAAAAAATATTTTGATTCGTATTATATTTTTTCGTCTCAGATGCTACCTGGATTTTACCAAAAACAAACTAATTTCCATGCCTGAAGATGACTGAATGTTCATTTTATATCATTAACTTTACTAATCTACAGTTTGTATGAGTGATTCATTGTAATATAAATTGAACTGTACCACATATTTGATTTATAAGAACTGATCCGATGTGAAATTTTTCGGTATTAGTAAAAACGCACTCTCTTAAAATTTCCCCCAAAATTCTACCTTAGCGTTGCGACTGAACGCTCGAAAAGTTAGTATCTGTTGACAATATATATATATATATATATATATATATATATATATATTAATTACGTTCAAGTATCTATCTATCTATCTATCTATCTATCTATCTCATTCCGTTCA